TCTTTGTAGGTCAACTGTGGCCACTGTGGGCTAAGTGTCTCCCCGTGGGGACTGCGAAGCCATTTGGTCATCTTCCACTTTCGTGGTGTTCTTGATGCTGCACTGGGAGTTTGGTATTTGCTTCAGGAAATACAAGGAGTTCAACTGGGACACAGTGCTGGAGGAAGTTCTGTCACGTGTGGTGGGTCAGGGTCCTAGGAGAATGCACCAACCATGCTTCTATCCCACAGAGCTTGGCCCCTTGACCATAGCAACCTGATTCTGAACATTGTTCTGAAACCTCTCCATATAACAAGATGCCTTTACATATAAGGGTCTGCTGGCTGCACCATATCAGTCACAAAACATTTGGAAGCCCATGGCAGATCCACATGGCCCCACCACAGATGTTTTATCACACACCTGCACTCCACTGCTGTAGGCTCACTACTCAGCAGGCCCCAAATTACTAGCATCTCTTTTCTACACCATTTTCATGCAAGCCAGTCAATCAAGGCACCTGTCTGGTACACTCATGATAAGCAAGAGGACATCCAAAGATTCTCCAGTGCCACCTGGTCATGGGAATTTCAAAGATTGCATGGTATTTATCTAGCAATTTTTAAAGGATGAGGTTGGAGGCACGGTGGGTTTCCATTCATTCAGGAACCATTAAATGGTATGAAAGATCATTTCAATGAAAGCTCTGGAGAACTCTCACAAAAATGCTTCCCCAAAAGTGGCCTAAATTTCACATGAAACCAGGCCCATGGAGGTCTACAATGTGAGGTCCATGTGAGTTTTGACTCTCAACTATGGCTCCCAGGTCTTTAAGAATAAAATCATGTGACATCCTGGTGGAGATTCCCAGTGTTCTGTGGAAAGTCACCCTGGGCTTCGATCTCAGTTTCCAAGGGTGACTCTCATGCGTGGCCTTGGAAAATCCCAACACAATTCATGGCAATACTTCTCTGAGGTCAGTTCCAGAACTCAGTCTCCAGGGGGAATCACACCAGAGTTCAAGCCAAGAAGGACTCAGTCATCTCTTCCACCGCCACACAAATGACCACAATTCAAACCAAAACACTGAAACATGGCCCTCATCTTCTTCCATATAGACACTCCTTGTAACCTCTGGCGGGAGGTTTCCATGAGGGGCCCAGCCCAAGACAGTGTCCACAATAAGCTCTCTTGCCCCTCATTTGCCTAATGTCAGGGTGGCCTGGACACCTTTCCTGTGAACCAGGAGTGATCAAATAGGCCTGCCTTTAATACTGCTCAGCTTCTCCACTTTGTGGCCTGCTGATGGTGGGGTATAGATTCTTTGTGTGAATTGGAGTCATGAGAAAACCCAAGCACATAATGGCTAGCATCTTCCTGACTTCATCCACAATGACTGCTTTTTTGCCATATTGGCTTTGGATGCACATATGGGATCTTTCTTGAGATCCATCATGTGCTGACAATCTAAGCCACAGCCTCACAGAGGGCCAAGAGGCTGATTCAGATTCATCCCCTTGCAAAGCAATTAAGCAAAGAGCCACAGGTGATGCCCATTCTTTTGCATTTGAAAACTGTTTTCTTCAGGCTTCACAAAAATGTGCCCTGAGGCAAAGACCTTGCTGACATTCAGGGCAAAAGAACAATAGGTAAGAAAAAGGCCCAAAGCAGGGTTTCTCCACTGAGACTTTACTGGGCCCACTGATATCTGAGTTTTCTGAGATTCTCGCCATTCTGTTCAGCTATCCAGTACATAGCCATGTCACCAAGCTTGGAGGTGGTACATATCTTGGACGCAAAACCATGAGCCTATTCTGGAGAGTGGCCAGAATTCCTGAAGAAAAAAGGAAATTAGGGATATAGTAGGTGTTGCCCATGGATAAGGCAAGCAGCAGTCCATTCATAAATTGGGCAGGATGAATGTTGGAAACTTTCTACTAGACAGGACACATCCATTGATGCATTCTCTTTTCTAATGTCTACAACTAGGAACACAGTGGGATACACAGACATAGCAACACTCGCCTTGTCAAAAGACTTGCTAGAAACAGACCAGTCCAAACCAAACAAACCACCTTTTCTAGCTCTTCTCAGAACATGAGACAAAACCACAAACACACCCACACCCACAAAGCCACCTATTTCCCCCAAGGAGGTCTGTGACTACCCGCAGTGTCCTCTCACTGGTGGGCCATATTATGTTCCCCCTTAATGGCCTGTCCTTTCTCAGATCTGGCCTCCTTGGCAAACTCTGTGAAGTTGCCAGGTGCCAGGGGTGAGCCACTACCTGCTTTCTCAAGAAAGACCCCCTTCATAGCTTTCCTGGCAATTGGCCATCCTCACAACTGTAGGAACCAAGAAAGACTGACTCTGTCCTTGGTAAATACAAACAAGTGAGCCCACTGGGACTGGGACTGGGACTGCCTCTGGGTGCCTGGCTTTCTGGATCCCAAGTTCAGAGAGTTCCATCACCAAGGAAGTGTGGTGAGGTCACTTCTTTAAGGAACTGAATGAGGTCAATGCCTTGGAAACCACTTTGTTTTAACAGTTGCTTCCAAGGGACCCATGGGATGGAGGCTGCCCCTGCTTCCTGTGACACTTTCACAAGTTAGAATGGTATATCAACTATAGGCACCCAGGAAAAGCTCTCCACACAGGCCTGGTTTGGTCCATCTTGTCTAAATTGAGAAGAGAGAGGCTCATTCAGACACATCCCTTCATCCTGACCACGTTGTTTGCCACAGAAGATGACTTTTGCTCTCTCAGGTCCTTCCTAACTGCCTACATCTTCTCCAGGGATCATTTCTGCATGGACCTTTGAGGTTCTCAGCAGGTGGAAGATCCCCTACATTCCAGTAGTGTAAGACCAACTCTTTCCCTGCTCTTCTGTAAAGTTAGATTGAGGGAACAGTGTATGCTTGGGGTTAAGAACATGTTCGATTTTGATTAGGAATCATTCTGCTGGATGAAGAATGGTATTGGGAATCTGTGATATTTATGATAATATAGAGCGAACTATATGTATGAAAACAGAAATTGAAGTAGGATTTGAAGGCCAGAAGGGCATTGGGCCCTTGATTGGGATACTTAGCTTTGAATTACATTCTGTACAGATGTCTCCAATAAATCCATATACAATGGCATAGGACCTTGTACCTGGGATGATTGAATGTAGAAGAGAAGATTCAGTCAAAAAGGGATAGTAGGTAGGATTAGGAAGATAGTCAGTAGGTTTAGGAAGAAGAGTAAGTAAAAATTTGGACCAAAAGTTCTTTAGCAATAGGGTGTCTGTTAGAGAGTGAATGTAAATATCAGCACATGTGAAGAGTCAGTCACAATGATGAAGTGGGGAAAATATGTAGGAAAGCAGATATGAATATAGACATTAGGAAATCAGGCAAAGTATAAAGTGAGTGTAGGATTAGACATTTTCTTTTTTTT